AGTGGCAAGTAGATAAAACATCCTACATTTATTTTGGCTTCCCCTGGACATACTTACCATCTATTCAATCAGGATTATGATTTTTTGTATTGACAAACTTTGCTTTTGCATCTATTATTTTAATAGAATATTTAGTAGTTTTTCTAAACTTGCTTACTCAAAATAACCTAATAGAAGTATTTAATGGTTTTTTTCTGATACATGGGCTTTTAAAAAATTTATGACAACATAAAATTATCAGTTTTCTAAGACTTTTTATAAAAAGCAAATAGTAACAGATCATTTGTTATCTATGAATTGTGATCAGTAAACCCCTAAATATCTACTTATTTAGTTCTGTTGTATTAAATATTATCATCAGTGTTACATAACCACATGAGCTTATTGAATAACATCAGTATCAACATTTTAATCGAAATGTTAAATTATTTCATTAGACTTTTCATCTGAGTCATCTATAAATTGACAATTGAACTTTTACTTAGTTCAGTTATAAATCAAACTATTTAATAATTTTTCTAATGGTAAAAACCATAAGGTCTTTAATTTCACAATAAAAATGTTAGTACTAATAGCTTTATAAAATATTTTAATGCAATACAAAAGTCAGTAATAACCATTGCTGTTCTGTACACATGAATTAAGAAAGGCCAGTCTCTACATATGATGTATTTAAATAAATACGACCAAATTTGTCTGGGCATGGTGGCTCATATACTAACCCAGCATTTTGGGAGGCTGAGGTGGAAGGATTGCCTATAGTCCCAATTACTCAGGATGTTGAGGCAGAAGAATTGCCTGAACCAGGAGGTCAAGGCTGTGGTGGGCCATGACTGTGCCACTGCACTCCAGCCTGGGTGACAGAGTGGACCCTGACTCAAAAATAAAAGTTAAAAATTAAAATTAAAAAATATATATATGTATATATTTACATATATGGCCAAGCTTAAAATAAACACTTAAAGCAGGAATGGAAACTTTAATTCTCTTTTCTGTAGGAAATGGGGAAAAACTAATAGATAGCAATGATAAACAGTCTTAACTAAAGAAAAATTGTTTGACTGAAAAAATGGAAAGTGAACAATTTTTGGTGTTACTGTAAGGGAGGAAAAATAATTTTCTCTCTACCCTTCATAGTTCTTAGCTGTGATAGACCCCTATGACAAAAGACAGGTTAACAAAAGAAAAATAAAATAATTTTATTAACATGTACATAGGAGATACCGTGGGCTTGAGTCATTCTCAAAGAGGTGACTTTGAATTCACACTTATATAGCATCTTCAACAAACAACAGTACATTTTTCAAGAAATGATGTGACAAAGGAAAAGAACTTTGAGTGTCTAGGGGCAACAACATGGAGGAAGACAAATAAGTGGGATTTTGTTATGTATGTTCCTCTGATGCCATCTCTAGGCTGATAAGGGTCTAAAGTTTTTCACTGATCAACTTTTGTCCTTACAGAAAGGCTGCTAACACACCTCAACTTCTAACTCTTGTTTCTAATAACTACCTTGAACTTAGAAAGAATGTTCAGGGTTGTTTGTTTGTTTGTTTAAGAGGATGCTATTTTCTTTATTTTTAAAAATTCTATTATTATGTCTCTATGGAAAAATAAATAAATAAATATGTCTGTAAGATTATTGAGTAGACTTGTTTTATTTGGCCAGAACTTTTTTTTTTAAGTCAGTGTCTCACTCTTTTGCCCAGACTGGAGTGGAGTGGCATGATCACAGCCTCAACCTCCTGGGCTCAATTGATCTTTCCACATCAACTTTCCAGTTAGCTGGGACTACAGGCCCATGCCACCATGCCCAGCTAATTTTTTTGATTTTTTGTAAAGACGAAGTCTTGCTGTGTTGCTCGGACTGGTCTCAGACTCTTAGACTCAAGCAGTTCTTCCACCTCAGTCTCCCAAAGTGCTGGGATTGCAAGATTGAGTGCCAACCAGAGCATTTTTTTAAATGTGTGCCTTTGGGTGGCAGTACACCTTCCTTTAGAATCCCCGCAACTGCTTACTCTTTCCACAGCTGCTGCACATATTCATGTCTTGCCTCTAAAGATAATAGAGTTTATGCTCCTTGATATAAATTATAAGACAATTAATTGTTTAGTTTCTTAATATTGCTATTTTGATCAGAAAAGTACTCATTATGCAAAGTAAAGGGTGGAAATAATATAGTCACAATATTGTACATGATATTGATTACTAATTCTTTTATGTGAATGACTGACCTGATTTGAAAGCGGTCCTTTTATGCAAACAGGGGTTTAATTGATCAAAGCATTTGTTATTCTAATAGGATAACATATGCAATAGAAATTGACTCACAGCACCAAGAGCAAGAAGTAGCAGAACCAGCAATCAACAGAAAAAAAAGTCTTTGGAATTATCAAACACAGAGAAAACCTCCATTCTTTGCCAAGTTGAAAAAGTAAAAGCACATATCAGGAAGTAATGGTAGAAAACTGGAGACTTTACAAAGTGATAAGGCTTTTGAAAAAGAACTAACTTTTCAAATAACTGATTTATTTCAAAGAAACAAATTTTAGGATCAGGAAATAAAATAGCTAAAACCATTTCGATATGCAAGCTTAACAGATTAGACAAAGCTGGAGTGATACACAGTGATAAATAGTGGATATAGCCCAGAAAATACTTTTCAAGGAGCACAGAAGAGAAAAAATATGGAAAATACTGAACAAAAGAAAAGGGTAAGACAAAAAAAGGATACATTGAAAAGATCTCATCAGTATTTGATTGGGGTCTTAGAAAGAAAAGGGAGAAATAAAGGCCAAAGGAAATATATGAAAGGATAGGCAAACAGACCAATAGAAGAGAGAGTCTAAAAAGAGATCCATGGATACTTGATTTATGACAAAGGTGGAATGCAGCATGTGGAATGGTTGATATTTTCAGTAATTGGCATTTGGGCTATTCGGTGTTTCTATAGGAAAAAAATGAAATTGGGCCATTATTATAAATAAAATCAATTACATTTCGATTATAGACCTAATTGTGAAGGACAAAACAATAATGTCTTTAAAGGATAATATAAAATATCTTTTTAATGTTTGAGCTATATTACAGTTAAGAAAAAAAGCAGTCGGGGTGGGAGAGGTATTTGCAAACTACAACTAACAAAAAACTTTCATCTAAACTTAAGAACAAAACAAAGCTAAATCAATGAGGAAAAGTCTGGCCCCATAGAAAAGTAAGTAAAGTATTTAACACTTCAAATATGAAACTCACAGGGCCCGGTGGCTCAGCCTGTAATCCGCGCCTTTGGGAGGCTGAGGTGAGTGGATTGCCTGGGCCCGCGGGTTCGAGACCCGCCTGGGCAACTTGACGAGACCTCATCTCTACAATAAATCAAAAATCAGCTGGGCGTGGTAGCCCGCGCCTGTATTTCCAGCTACTTGGAAGGCTGAGGCGGAAGGATCTCTGGAGCCTAGCAGGTCGAGACTGTGGTGGCCGGGAGCGGCCACTGCACTCCAGTCTGGGAGACAGAGTGAGACTCCAACTCAAAAAAAAAAAAAAAAAAAAAAAAGATGAAACTCACATGATCTAAGGTATTTGACCTCAATAATTAGAGAACTTCTAGTTCTCTATATATTTTAGTTTTTTTTCAATGGCAGATTATTACAATCTGAATACCAATAATAGAAAATCAGCAAGCTAATTAAAGTTTTATACGTAGTATAGGTGTGCCATTTGGGCTTTACAAATGATTTAGATTTATGTTAACAGGCTTACAGTATATTAAAATGCTCACTGAATATTATATATTATTTTGGTAAAAATCTGCATATATATAAATATATGAATATGCATTTGTGAAAAATATATATATATTACATGAAGTATGAAAATATTTCAAAAAGTAGTTTTGTGGATGATGTTATTTGGAATGATTTTAATCACATCTTTTTTACTTATTTGTATTTTTCAGTGTTTCTAAATGGAACTTGTACTGTGTTATTCCCATAATTGATAAAATAGGATGTACAAAATAGGGTAGTGTGTGTATGTGATATTCCATTATGGAATATTCCATTATGGAAAAAAATTTTCTATTTTTTATTAAAATTTTGATCAGATGAACTGCCCCTTATTGTTAAAAGCATGTGTTCACAGGCATATATAGTATGTGCATATAGTGTGTACAGTAGCAATACATGAAGAATGTGGAATAATATTATTATTCTAAAGATACAGTTCAGGATTAAGTGACAATCATTGCTCCCATTTTCTTTTCACTTAAATGGATCCTTTAAATTTTTTCTGCTTTGTTATTATAATTAATCCCTGATTGCTCCTCCTTTTAATATTTTTTCTGCCTCCCTACTTTCCATTCTGCTTTTGGGATGCTTATATGTCCTTAATATTTTTTTCTTTTTTATTGTTAAAATTTAGACATACAGAGAATTCAATCATTTTAAATGATAAACTATATTATAAGAATGGAATTCATTTTTATAGCTTTGGAATCTTAAATAGCCTTAAGATTTTATTCTCATAATTTTACAGGGGGAAAAAAATGAGCCTTTCTAACGTACCTTTTCTGATAAAGTAAATGAATGTTTAATTTGAAAAATAACAAGGCCTGGGGGTTTTAACAAGAGATTTGTTTTCTGGCCTTTTGTCATAATAAAGAGTGGTTATGTTTTTGTTGTTGTTGTAGTTGATTTTTTTTGTTTGTTTTTCTTTTCTAGTTTGGATGGGATGATATTTGACAAATTAAAAAAAAAAAAAGTGATGTGTTTTGCCACAACTTCCAAGAAGCAGAGAATTAGATTTAGGGTTTATTATACTAGTTAGCTCATGCATATATATTTTTGTCTGCTTTAACTTATTATTGTTCTTGGATGATTAATTGTTCTTTTTATCCTTTTTAGAAATAGAGGTAAAAAATGTAAGTCAATATGCATGTGTGTAAATATATATGTACATAAGTACACTCATGCATACTGTGTAAACATGTTTTGAATTTCTTTTAGCCAACAAATGGAATCTTCTTGAGCATGTTTCTAATTGTTTTGCCATTGGAATCCATGGCTCATGGCCTCTTCCATGAATTGGGTAATTGTTTAGGAGGAACATCTGTTGGATATGCTATTGTGATTCCTACCAACTTCTGCAGGTACAGTAATCTAGTATAGTTAGTAATAACTACTTGATTCATAACAATTTCCTGTTATTTGTATAGCTAACAATAAAATGTGGTAGCTCTTTTTTTCAAAACTAATTTTTAAAAATATAACTTCTAGAAAACTGTAAATTGTGATAACATCTTTAGGGTTCAATTTAAATATTTTGATAAATATGATTAACTTATATTTTAGCTAGAAATCAGAAAATATGAATGAATGATTTTTTTTTTTTTTTTTTGAGTTTGAGTCTCAATCTGTTGCCTAGGCTGGCAAGCTCAGAGCCACCGCAACCTCAACCTGCTGGGCTCAGGCGATCCTTCCTTCTCAGCCTTCCAAGTAGCCAGAACTACAGATGTGCGCTACCATGCCCAGCTTTTTCTTTTTCTTTTTGTAAAGACGAGATCTCACCAAGTTGCCCAGGCTGGTTTCAAACCCGTGGGCTCAGGCAGTCCTCTTGCCTTGGCCTCCCAACATGCTGGGATTACAGTTTGAGCTACCATGCCGGCCTATGAATGGATTTTTTTAAGGAAAGGTCCTATGCTACCGGGAATATCTTGTTTAAGAAGATGTCCTGTGAAAACAAAATATAATAGAATGTGCCTGAGCCTAGAGTTCTACTTCTGTATTTTCATAGGCAAATTGTAATTTCTCTGAACTTTAGCGTTTTCTAAATGTAAATGGTGATACCTCTTCTGCTCATCTCAGTAGAATGTTATGAAGAACTGAAAAGAATATTAAAAAACACTTTGCACACTGAAAAATGCCATACAAATACCAGGAATTCAAAAGATTGGCAGTGATGCTTAATAAATATTTAATTGCAGTTTTATTCCAAAATAATTTTTAGCATCAAATGTGCAAATCGCTAAATATTGCTACATTTTTATTTTTCTCTTATAGCTAAATAATTTTAAAATAAAAAAGTAGTCTTTGCCATTAATGAATTCTGATGACCATGTTTTCATCACGCTTTCCTTGGCAGAGGGATCTTTAAATCAAAAAGCTTTTATCTGATTTCAAACATTTGACATAAAACCCCAAATATACTATTTGTGGGAAATATTTTCCTTCATGTTAAAGCCTTAATAAAAAGTTGTGGTTTATTTGAGAAATAAAAGAAACAGATTCTAGAAGTGTCTCATAAAGTAGAAGTGAGAACACTATAAATAGAATGTGTGGAAATAATAATATGCACAGTTAGGTTTTTGTTCCATTGTAACTTTTTATGTATTGCTTTTTTACCTTTTTGTGTCTGTTAAATGTTATAGAACAAAGTGTTTTAATGAAAACTAAAGTTGTTAGAATAGTATTGATGATAGATGAAGTGAAATCTAAAGTTTTCAAAATTCCTAATAGAATTCCCTTTTCTGGATTGGAGTGATGATTTTTTTCTCCTTCAATATTTATGTTATTTTGCTTGTTTTAAGACTTGGTTCGTTATCTTTACTACGTATTATTCTACATTTGTTTCAGTAGTATAAATCAATGGATCTAAATTTTAGTAATTGTTTAAAGTGCCACTTATATTATTTCTTCCTTATTTATGTACCTTAGGTTAGTAAAACTTGAGCATACATGTATAAAGACCCTGTATTTCTCAATACAAAAATTAAATATATAATTAAATATTGCTTTCATATTTTGTATGTTAGAATTTTTTTTTCAAGAATAAAGTTTTTTTCTTTTAGTTCCTACCCAGGTGTTCTTGAAGCAGTATAATTGCTTTTAAAAATCTTGTCCAAAATCTGTCGTTTGGTAAGAAAATATGAATAAGGAACAAAGAGTAGTCCTATGTATAATTGGAGAGATCCTCCCAGCTTCTAGTTTGATTATTGTTTTAATGATAGTAAATATAATTTTTTTTTTGAGTTGGAGTCTCACTCTGTCACTCAGACTGGAGTGCAGTGACCACTCCCGGCCACTGCAGCCTTGACCTGCTGGGCTCTGGCGATCCTTCCTCCTCAGCCTTCCAATAGCTGGAACTACAGGCGTGCACTACCATGCCTGGCTAATTTTTTGATTTATTGTAGAGATGAGGTCTCACCAAGTTGCCTAGGTGGGTCACGAACCCGCGGGCTCAGACAATCCACTCACCTCAGCCTCCCAAAGCGCAGGATTACAGGCTGAGCCACCGAGCCTGGCTGATAGTAAATATAATTTTAAGAAACCAGGTTTTGATTTTCTAAGCTTAATTCTTAGCAATATAGGAATTTTAGGAAAGATGTTTTTTTAAAAAATCTGCCATTTAGATGGCAGTAGCTGTTATGATTCTTTGATGATCAATTATAAATGATGAGAATGTGATATAGAATGAATACTTCTTAAACAACAAAATAATTGTTTTTCTCCTACTTCAGTCCTGATGGTCAGCCAACACTGCTTCCCCCAGAACATGTACAGGAGTTAAATTTGAGGTCTACTGGCATGCTCAACGCCATCCAAAGATTTTTTGCGTATCATATGATTGAGACCTATGGATGTGACTACTCCACAAGTGGGCTGTCTTTTGATACTCTGCATTCCAAACTGAAAGCTTTCCTTGAACTTCGGACTGTGGATGGACCTAGACATGATACGTATATTCTGTATTACAGTGGGCACACCCATGGTACAGGAGAGTGGGCTCTAGCAGGTAAATTCACCTTTGACAGTTTCACATTTGTGAAGATACACATATTTGTGGAAGTCTGTTCTTCACACAGACATTAAATTTACAGAATTCTCAATTTTCCACTTCACAATTTACCAACTGTGCTGTATATGAATATTTTGTTTTTCTTTTCTCTGGCATACTTATTTAGCATAATTTTAGTAATCTCTAATGATAAGGTTTAAAAATTGTGTCTTGTGATTTGAAGACAAAAAAAATCTGCTTGATTTGACACTTAACCAGTTTCCCTTTAAAGTATTTTCAGAATTAGTAAATAAATTTTTTTTCTGAAGGTAATAAACTTCGAGTTGTATTTCTAAGTCTTTAAATGTTATGGATGCAGATTTCAATAGTCCTTCACATGTATAGTTTTGTTTATGTAAGAAGCTCACCAAAATTTTGAGCAGCAGGTAATGTGATATGGTGGAAGTAGTGCTCAGGTCCTCCTTTGCCACAACTGTGTTTATTTAAGCAAGTTACTTAACTTCTATTGACTTCAGTTTTCTCATCTATAAAATGAGTAATATTAAATGACCATTGAGTTTTATTTCTAAGATATAAAATTCTGTAAGGTTTTTTAAAGCATTTTTTTGATGCTATTAGGCTGTTGAAAAACATAATTTTGATTTACTTGCATTATGGGAAAAAAAACTTTTTCTCTCAAAAGTTACTGCCAAGAGAGAAATGAGATCTCTCTATATATAGTTAAATTTGTCAGTCTTCTTGACTATAATAGAGACCTCATAAGTTAAGGGCTTTGTTTTATGAATTGTTATTTCATACCTGTAACAGAGCCTGGCACATAAGAGGAAATCCTTAGGTGCTGATGAGTGGATTAAATCATTGAATAAATCATGAAAAAAGACAGGTAATGCTCTTATTTTATACTAGAAATCGTTCTTTTAGATCTAGTTATATCCCACATCTTTTCTTAAAAGATAAAATAGTCATAAAATATGTTTGAAAACATAGACTCAGGTCACAGAAAAAGATAAATAGAAGTAGTATAGAAGGATCAGAGGCAGAGCTACCCATACAAGAACTCTAGAAGGAAACAAACATACTCAGAGTTAAATTAGAGATGAATTGAAACCAGCATGATCTCACTAATTTCATGCCAGATTTGTGACCAGGGTGTTATTGCTAAGAAAACTATTTTTTTGAAATTTTTATTTTTTGCAAATAAATATTTAATAACTCAGTGTTTGTCTAGAAGAAAGGCAAGCTGACATTTATTAAGCATTCAGCTACTACTACTGTGCTTTGTACCTTATACATGTTGTTAGATTTAATCTTTACATGAAATCCTTTGAGATAGATACCATCACTTCTATTCATTTTTTAACGGATGAAGTAGAAGTTAAAGTGGTTACATAACTTATCTCTGATCATGCTACTAAGTGATGGAACTATGATTTAAGCCCAGGTCTGCCTGACTCCTAAAGTGTATTTTCCCCCCCCCCCGTAGCATGTTGCCTCCAAGGGTGAAGGCCATGATGATAGGGAAATAGCATGTTCTGATTAAGTAGATATTTTTGTTAGCATGGATTACCCATTTTCAAAAAATCAGAATGTACCAGAAGGTACTCAACACTAAAACTACTTGAACATAGTTTATAAAATCATTTACTTGACCTGCAACTTTTTAATCACGACGTAGAAAAAAACTTTTTAACATTTATGACTTCAGTTTCAGGTAAAGTATAGCATTCCATGTATTCTAACTCAGCACAAGAGAAAAAGTTCTCATCAATTCAAAAGTCTTTACAGAAATAGAATTTCAGGTGTGAAGGCAAGGATTGATTATTGAAAACTTACTACAATACGTTAATAATAAACTCTCCCCATAGCAAATGGAAAAAGGGACAAATTTTGGTGGTCATGTATAGTATATACCCCTAGATATTTAAAAGTATTGTAAGAAAGTAATTTATTTTAAATGTAAGCTTTTTGTGTGTTTACATGAAGGATCTATTACTTAATGTAAACATTTTTCAAAAAGTGCATTTTTCTTAAATATTTTAAAATTTATTTCATGTATTTTTAAAAATAGCTTTGGAAATAAATTCTAGATTTCAATTTGCTAATATTTTTTTATCAGTTTTCCCTTTCCAGGAAAAGTAAAAATAAGATAAACAGTATAAAAAACAGAATTTCTAAATTTTTATTAACATGAGTTAGGAATATTTTGAAGACTTAAGAACTCTAAAATAAAGTTATATTTTAGGTAAATGTTTAGCAGTTACATTCTGGAATTATATCTATAATTTTTTTGAAGTATGTTACTAATAAATTAACTCTTATAGTTTTCATCTATCAGTCAAGAATATTTGTTCCTGTGTAACTTTGTAAAAGTGTTTATTGTAGAAAGAAAAAGAAAGAAAAAAGAAAAGAGGGAAAGAAAAGGAGAAAGTATAGCTTAACGCTGCCCTCCCTTCCCTGAGAAGGGGTAGATTTCATCGCATAATTCAGCAACTGCATACTGCCAACACACAGCCTGACTTGCAGGTAATCGAGGTGAACCAGGCCCAGAAGCCTTCTTTTCAGATAGTTCATGGCCTGCTTGCTTTAGACTTAGTCCTTAAAGGCTGATTCTGCCTCAGAAATAGTATTGAACACCCCTTCTCTGAGGGAAATGCTTTAATTTATTTCAAATCAAGTCACAGATTGCTGTATGCTGTGCTAATTTATTAGTAGTCATCTTTCTGGCAGCCTTTGAAATAGGACTGGATTTTACTTGGGTTAGCAAGTTGAGGGCGGGTCCAGAACGAAGTATCACTGTTGGAAAAAGAAGCTAGATTTGCCCTTTATCCCATACCTTCGCTTACAGCACTTCTCAGAATATGCAGTTTTCTCACATTTATGGGATTTAATAATATGGAACCTGGTATTTTTTCCTCTTTGCTTGAGGGTAAGAAACAATTGTGGTAAGTAACAGCAAGACAGAAATAAATGAAAAAAATGTAGATAATCTATAAAGCAGTTTATCACAGATAAAGTCTTTAAAAAGCGGTCTCAATTACTTGAAATGCATCAGATGGCTGTTATCTTAGATAAATGTACATACTTTGCATCTGGGCCAAAAGCCAAATGCAGCATAGAACCTATTCATAGGAGAAAGCAGAGCAGAACAAAACAAGAGATGAGAAATAGTTTAAGAGGCTTTAATGCTGCTTTAAGTCGCTTGTTGTTATCTAAAGAGCATTTATATAAGAGAATTAGGGTAGAATGTGCTGAAGAATATTTATTGAAATGGTTGTAGATGGCATGTTGGGCAATGATGTTTTGTGGCAGATGGAATTTGTATAATAACTCTTGTAATCTGTGTCATCTCTTTGATCTCTAGAGAAATTTAATAGAGCTGGCAATAATGAAAAGTTAACATTTGTCTATTTTTTTAAAAATGATGTCTTCCGGAGATATTAGTAAAGCAGCACATTAGTAATATGTAGAGATCGTGTATTAAAATAATGTCTCTGAGATTATATGTTGTTGGAGCAGTTCATAAAACAAGTTTTTCATTTTTAGAGTCTTAAAATATAGCCTGCTGATGAATAAAATAATATTAATTACACATATTAATGTGTGTATTCATTAACTAATGTGATATAGCCCAGCTTCAGAGGTAATTCAAATCTAAAGAAGTTTCTATCTCTCTGGTGGTATCATTTTGTAGGTTTAACAAAAAGGATGGCTGCTCTTGGTATAAATGTGTATTCTGAAGTTAGGTTGTTAGATCTTGTGCTAGTAAATCATAGCATATTAAACCTCCTTCTAATTACAGAAGTAGCATATACTCAATATAAAATTTCAGAAAATATTAAAAAATACTTGAAAAAACCACCTGAAAGTGAGACACTCAGCAATAGCCACTATTGTATATTTGGTAGCTATGCTTCTATTTCATCGTGCTTTTTCTCCTTATTATAGATATTGTCTCATCATTAGAATTTCTTTATAAATATTTTATTATAAAGTTTCCCTGGGTTTTATGCCACAATTTATCTCCATTTCTTCTGTTTCAGATTTTATTCTTGTCTTAGATAACAGTGGGAAAAAAATTTCTATATGTAATTTTTGCTCCGCCTCTGTTCTTTCCTTAGGATAGATTCCTAGAATTGGAATGATGTTCAGTGCACTATTGAGACAGGTCCAGGACTAGGTGAAGTTGAGAATTGCCTCAGGCACAAACTTATAGGAGTGCCAGAAAACTACATAGTCAAAATAAATATTTTTATGTAATACACTTAAAAATCAAAATGAATGCAAAAATATCACAGTGAACCAGATGTAAAACCTACTAGATGTGAAATAGATTTCTAGATCAGAAATTTATTCATTTTAGACCTTTCTGGCATATATTTTTTTATTTAAATCCATTCTTAAACTCACTCTTGTACAGGTAGGAATAGTGTTTCTTTTCATTTAGTAGGTAGCTGCATGCAAGGAAGATAAGGAAACAATGAAGTAAAATAGGGGTCAGCAAACTTTTTCTGTAAAGGAACAGACAGTTTTGGCTTTGTGAGCCATACGATCCCTGTTGTAACCATTCAGCTCTGCCATTGAAGAGCAAAACAGCCACAGGCAGAATGTAAATGAATGAGGTTACAATAAAATGTTATTTATGGAAATAATTATATGAAATATAAGATTCTTATAATTTTCACTGTCACAAAATATTATTCTTCTGATTTTCTTTTCAACCATGTAAATATACAAAATCAATTCTTAGCTCTCAGGCCATACAAAAACAGGTGGCCAGCTGGATAGGCCCACAAGCTATAGTGGTTTGCTGCCCCTAGTGAAGAATATGAGCTTTCCTGTATAGTTGTTTCCACTAAATTTAACTACATAAAACAGTTTTCTTAATTTATCATAGCATATCCTCTTTTAATGTAATAAGGATGATTGGTTTTTTAACCTCAAATTGAAAATCTGTTTTTAAAAATGCCTTCTGAAAAGATGCTTTGAAAGTATTACTTTTAAATACTTTATTTTTTGCTTATTTGCTTCTAAGAATAAAAAGAAAATACACTAAGAGAGTATTCAGAATGATAGGCTTCAGAAATTACTGCTCTCTTGAATTTTATCTTCCTCACAGGTGGAGACATACTACGCCTTGACACACTTTTAGAGTGGTGGAGAGAAAAGAATGGTTCCTTCTGTTCTCGACTTATTATTATATTGGACAGTGAGAATTCAACCCCTTGGGTGAAAGAAGTGAGAAAAATTAATGACCAGTATATTGCGGTGCAAGGAGCAGAGATGATAAAGACAGTTGATATTGAAGAAGCTGACCCGCCACAGCTGGGTGACTTTACAAAAGACTGGGTAGAATATAACTGCAACTCCAGTAATAACATCTGCTGGGCTGAAAAGGGACGCATAGTGAAAGCAGTGTACGGTGTGTCAAAACGATGGAGTGACTACACTCTGCATTTGCCAACGGGTAGTGATGTGGCCAAGCACTGGATGTTGCACTTTCCTCGTATTACATACCCTCTAGTGCATTTGGCAAATTGGTTATGTGGCCTGAACCTTTTTTGGATTTGCAAAACTTGTTTTAGGTGCTTGAAAAGATTAAAAATGAGCTGGTTTCTTCCTACTGTGCTGGATACAGGACAAGGCTTCAAACTTGTCAAATCTTAATTTGGACCCCAAAGTGGTATATTATCAAGCGTTCACACTACCGGTTATCACTAACTTGCCATTTTTTGTATGCTGTATTTTTATTTGTGGAAAATACCTTGCTACTTCTGTAGCTGCCCTCACTTTGTCTTTTCTCAAGTAATTATGGTATGTGTAAGGTGTTAGAGAAAAGCGTTATTTTATACTAAAAGTATGTAGGGAATCATAAATGCTGACTCCCTAAATGCATTAGAGATGTTAACAACACACTTTTAGGAACGTTTGCATATATGCCTCTGATCAGAAAGAAAACAGTTGTCTATGCTCTGCAGTGGCCAATGAAGAATTACTAATGCCTTATTTTCTTGGCATACATTAGAGAATGTAGACCAGACAAATTTGTTTACTATTTTAAGAAAACTACCACTTTACTTACAAAAGATTCTTTTCTCTGTACAGTAGTTTGATTCAAGATCATTTTAAGGACTACAGATGTTCTTCTTAGGAAAAGTCCTATTCAAAATAAATGCAAAATTTGCTTAAACTTCATCACATTCAGTCAGATATCTTGGTTGTGACCTGTTACCAATGTGGCGGAGAAGCCCAAATTACTTTTTAGGTCAAAACTTTCTTTATGTAAGTAATTGTTAAAAGGCCAGAGCCTACAAGTTGCTCCTTCATGCATTGGTGGGGGCCCCTGAAAACACTGGTAGTTTTAAGTCTTTCTCAGGGTAACAATGTTTTCTTAATGAACAATGCTTCCAGCTACAAATTTCTTCCAAATAAATTGTCTTCCATTTTGAAAATTACTCTTATAAAAGAAATTTGGCAGTTTTTCATTTACTGATTCCATCTACCTTAAGTATTCAGAAAAGATTTTCATCTCTGTAGAGTTAATGCGCTGCCATGAAAATTATTTTTCAAATCCTCATTAGTGATAATGCTTTTTGAAGGTCAAAGGATAGGAAACAAGTCGTTTCTTGTATACATATAATGTATTATGTAAAACAGTATTCATATTGGCAATTTTAGCTAATCGTAATAATAGTGTGGTTGTAATTTTTTAAACTTAATTCGGTGTTTTGTCAGATTACAGCAGGCATTTAATCTCCTAAGAAGTAATTCATTTTTTTGTTCCCTTCCAATAATTGTTACATTCTAAATGTTCGTTTTTGAGAAATAACAAGAGGGGAATATAATTAAATTGGAAAATAATCTAATCTTTATTGTTTAAATGGTTTGATGTCTCACCATTGAAGCCATTTTTCCAACCTCAAAGAAAAGAAGTAGCGCCTCTACCATTTTCTTCCTGGCGACTTGAAAATTGAAGTTTTAAGTTAAGAAGAAGTCATTTGGTGTCAGGGAACTTGTATACCACTATCTATGCAGCATTGTTATAGTCTGATTATTTCTATGTTTTGAATATGGTTTTCCTAATCCTCTGAATAAAATTTTGTTAAAAATTAATTTTTATTAACTGTGCAAATAACAATTATTGAACATTTTAGTATATTAAAAGTGGTAGTCATAAAAAATACCCATGTTTTAGAGTTCATGTTTGATGGCAAGTTGATTTGAAAATTTCCAATATTTGGTTAAGTATGTTAGCATCATCCAAATGAAATAATATAGTGTTTCATTACTGTCCTGTTCATTAATAGTATAGTAGAAAAGCCAAGTTTTAAAATTTTGAACTTATAGTTCACAAAAACAGTTCAATTAATGTTAAGTAAAATCCTTAAAATCTCTTAGCCAATAACAAGCAAGTTAATGCTAAGCATTAACTAAAGTTAATTAAAGTTAAGCATTAACTAATACTAAGCAAGTTAATGCTAAGCATTAACTAAAGCATTATCTCATCACTCTGAGAAAGCCAAATCTAAAAGCATGTTCTGCATTCTTTATTAAGTAGTATTAAGATGGTAATAAAAATTAGATTAAAAAATAGCAGATAATTTCACAGTTACATACCAAACTTTATGTTATATATTTTCTGTAAAAGTACAACCAAAACAGATCTTTGGCTAAGAATGTGACTTGAGCCAGTTTATTAACCAAAAAATTATAGAATATCCACTTTGATGAAATCTCCTACCCAAACAAAAAACTATGAACAACTCTTTGGGTTGGTACCCTAAAGCTGACATTTAAAAAACATTAACTGATACAACAGACAGTGTGGTAAGGAAATGTTACAAGAAGGATAAAGTGATTGGTTAGTTTTACCTAAAGATGAAAAGATAGATCTGACAGTTAATGAGACTAATTTGCCTATGGCTTTCATTTCACATGTACTTCAGAAAGGAGTACTTGATATGCAAGACATTATTTTAGGGCAAAACGAAACCATTCTAGTGAAAAGAAAGGCAACATGGAGATCGTTTTCAACATAATTTGACTTAATATTTGTTTATGTGAAACATTTCTAAAACCGCAAAACTACTAGCACTAAAACATCTTTACAAAGTGTGCACTGTTGTATGATAAATTGAGGTGCCATATTCTTTCTTGCCCTCATGACTTTCCAGTTATGGTGCAATTTCATTTAAAATTTTTTGTTTTAGTTACTCTAATCTAAACTCTTCCTCCCTGGGAAACTTAGATTTATCTTTCCATAGAATTCTGTCTTGCTTTTAATAAATTCAAAATTCTATGGAAAATATATTTTCTAGAAGATTATTTTTGACCAGTGTTTTTGTAAGTTCTATACTTTAAAAAATTACATTCTTAATTAAATGCACTTATGTGTAATGCATTAGTGGGTATATTTTTGTTTTGAGTAAAATCTTCATTAGAATATATTTGTAACTATATTTTGTTTGTAATTTTTGGCTTAAACATATTAACTGTTTGAGGTATTACTTTTGGTATGTATTATTTCACATTTAGAGCTTAGTCTCTTGAAGTAATAATTCTGCATTACCATTTCACAGGTGATGTGATGGTTAACATTATGTATGCCAGAAGAAAATGGTCTAATTTTAAGAATGTGATTTAGATCTATCTGATAGTAAATGCACAAAGGATTTAGATCTGTCTGTACTTTTTGAGTGTCTCATCTGCTGGAGACTACTGAATTGCCATTTCCTTTTAGGAAGAGGCTTACAAATCTTGGTATTTCTTGTACACAGTTACCCAGAAGAGTGCCTTGTGCATCATAAGAGCAGTTTAACAAATATTTTCAACTGAGTGAATGAATTTAGAATCCTAAGGAGAAATTGGAATAACTCGATTGCAAATTACTACATTTTCTTTATGATTTTACTTAAATGGATATTATTTCAGATATTCATTAAGCATGTAATTTAGTAAAGACTATATAGAATCAGTAAAAGGAAAACAGATCTCAAAGTTGTAGTTAAAAGAGTAAAAAGTGTCAAGTTTAGGGAAGGAAAAACTTTCAGAACTGGTTTGAATAAAAGCATGGCGGATGTTGCCCCAAAAATGACTTTTTATGGATTGGATCCATTTTCATCATGACTCTAACATGATTAAGATGGGATTATTCATTCATTTCCCTATTACTACATCTGGACAAATGGGAGATTTATCACAAATGGAAATTATTTTTAAAAACTGGTCATGTGTAATCCCAGCACTTTGGGAGGCAGAAGCAGGAGGATCACTTGAGGCTGGGAGTTCGAGACCAGCCTGTACAACATAGTAAGACTTTGACTCTCCAAAAGAAAAATTAGCCAGGTGTAGTGGTGCATGCCTCTAGTCCCAACTACTCAGGAGGTTGATGCAGGAGGCTTGCTTGAGCCAAGGAGTTTGAGGCTGCAGCAAACTGTGATTGTGCCACTGCACTCTAGCCTGGGTGACAGAACTCTGACTAAAAAGAAAAGACTGATAAGGAATTTGGCTACATATATGGGTGGCACTACTTTGTAAGTTCAGAAAAATAGGCCTATAAACAAACAAGGACAAACTAGGGAAACTAACTAGGGTCTCATTTTTAGAGTCTCTTTCCTAATACAATACATAGAAACAAAATAAAAAAATTGTAAACAATGAAATGTAAACAGTAATTGTTTTGAGTAATTGTTCTGTTGATAAAGTAATTTAGGGATTATTTCTTAGCCCAAGTTAATTCAAAATAGAAAACTGGGCTAAACAGGAAGGTTTTTAATTTTAAAATATTTAATACATAAAAACCATTTTGATGAAAACTAATTGACTAGTCAATTTTGTGTGATGACCTGACAATATTTTATATTTGAAGTTTGAAATTAAAATAATTGGAAGTAGATAATTTTAGTAAACTTTTGTAATCTGGCCTAAGGCATTGATTTATCTCAAAGATTTTCATAGTGAACATGGTATATCTTCCTAGACAAGCAATGTGTTTTTTTAGTGATAATTAATGAGAAAGTATTTTTTAAGTTCAAATTTTTTTTAAAGTTCAAAAATATTTTATATTAAAACTCATGCCATTGTGTTGATGAACAAAAGTCATTAATTTTTAATGTAAACCACAAGACTTTAAAACAATGTAATTTTGCAGTGGATCATATGATTTACCCTCCTTTCCCCAGAATACTTTGGACACAATATTGGATGTTAATGACACTCTATATAGAATATTTTTTTTAAAAAAGAAATTATTTGTCTTATGACTTGGAATGTAAACAGCACAATGAATTTCCATGAAACAAATTATTGTGTGTGTATGGGATATCAGATGGATGCCATTTTAAGACAATTTTATAATAGTTCTGTGTTCTTCAGAGTCTTTACACATAATGATTTCTTGATCTACACGGTTAGGAAACCAGGGGGTGGGGATTTTAATTTGTAATCCACATTCACGTGCAATGATACCCATTCACTCCTATCTCTCTCCTACATAAATAGAAGAGGTATTCCTCTTTTTCACTTACACCTAGCCTTTGGATTCCTTTCTTTTTTTCCACATGAAACAATCCATCAATAACAAGAAAAATGTCAATAGCTAATATCTATTGACTGTTTACTATATTCTAGGCATTGTAATAAGCACTTCTAAGGTTTCATTGAATCCCCCCAGCCACCACTTATGGTAGATACAATTTTATTTTATGAATGAGAAATCAGGCGTAATTTTCCCAAAGTGACAAAAGCTGTGTCTAAGACATTGGGTCTCAAACTCATCTCTGACCCCAAACTCTTAACTACTACTTTCTAATACTATGAATTTTGTATCTTCAATGTCTCTACTACTACTCAAGTACTTTTCCCTCAGAATACAGTATGAACATTCTCAAGGTTTTATAGTAGCAAATCTTCCCTTGGTCTCACATCACATTGTTTTTGTTTTTGTTTTTTTTTTTTTTGTTTTTGCTTACAGTCAGGTTACTTGAGTGATCTGCACTCAGTTTCCAATTTCTTAGCTTCCATTATGAGGTCTGACAATCAAGTTTGTGAAGTCATCTTAGAAAAAGTGCTACATACCTCATTGCTGAATATCAATCACTATGGTCACCTTTAAAGTACTCCACTTGGGACTATGAATAGATGCCAGTGCCTAGTCCATTCATCAAAGCAATTTTAGAATATTATTCTTGATATCCTAAATGTCATCTAAATGTCTTCCTTTCAATATTTCCTTTATCTCTGGGTAAAGAAAAATGTCACTGGGAACCAGATCAGGAAAGTAAAGAGGGTGTTCCAATAGTTATTTGTTTACTGGCTAAAAACTCCTTCACAGACAGTGCTGTGTTAGCAGTGATTGTTGTGATTCAAAAGCTTCAGGACCATTTTTGCACACACCTGTCTCATGGCAAGATTTTCAGTTAAGATTTTCGTAACCTTCTCTATCCATGTTTATTTGATCTGCTGTGCTTCTCAGCTGATGATTTTGACACACAATTCAATGAATTTTTGCAATATTTTCATCAGTTTTGCTCATTACTGGTCATCCAGACTTCTCATCAATGATGCTTTCTCTCCCCTCAGAAAAATGTTTAATCCATTTGTACACTGCCATTTTCTTCATGGCATCCTCATAAACTTGGACTAACATGTTTTCACTTTCACTTCCACTCTTGCCAGGTTTAACAAGAAATTTAATGTGTGTTCATTGTTCTAATTCAAACTCCAACATTGTCATGATGTGAGCTTCGATGTCATTCCAGAAATGGTTCCAAAATTGCTTTGATGAGTGGACTAGGCACTGGTGTCAGTGCATAGCTTCCTAAGGAGAGCACTTAAAAGGTGACCACAGTGATATTCAGCCATGAGGTATGTAGCACTTTTTCTAGGATGAGTTCATGAGCTTAACTGTCAGACCTCATATATCTTGTATCCATGGCAATCTGAGTTCCTCAGCACTCCACTGACAATGTTCTTACTGAGTCATCAATGACTTCCATATTGTCAAAGAGACATTTTCGTTTTGTTTTGTTTTAGTTGGAGTCTCACTCTGTCACCCAGACTGGAGTGCAGTGGCCACTCCTGGCTATCGCAGCCTTGACCTGCTGGGCTCCAGC